AGGTATGAGTCACTAACGACTCGATGGCACATAACAACAACAAACATCACGCCACGGTTTGAATTATTTGAGAAATTGTTAGATATAGAGCCCATCACATAAAGATCTTTTGTTATGAATGGAAGTTTCATGTCTTCAATTTAGCAGATAACCAGGATGTTTGCCTAACACAGAAAAGTGATGCCCACAGTAGTTGTTACAAATAGGGATAGAGAATCAGATAAAACCATCTAGTCCAGGTTGATAGAAACGTTAACGAAGCAGAACACAACCTATGATATTAGTGGCTATTTGCATTTTAAGATGTACATAATTAAGGAGTGTTGCTAGTGGATGAGTGAAACTCAGAATCAACAGCAGGAGGTTTCATGAATTTGCTATTGTTGTTGTTATATGTCATTGAGTCTTCTGGGACCCATAGCGACCCTATGTACAGCAGCTCTGAGCCACACCCTGTCCTGAGCCAGTCTCACTAATTCTGACACACCAACCCCTATTGCCCCATCTCATCAGGGTCTTCCTCTCCTGTGCTGTCCCTCCACGCTTCTGAGCATGGTGTCCTTCTCAAGGACCGGTCTCTCCTGGCCATGTGCCCAAAGTATGTGAGACAGAGTTTCAAAATACTAGCCTCCAAGGAGAAACCTGATCACACCCTCTCCAAGACAGACCTATTTGTTTTCTTGGCATTCCATGGTATGTTCAAGACTCTTCTCCAGCACCACAACTTGAAGGCATCTATTCTTCTTCTGTCATCCTTAATCACTGTCCAGCTCTGACACATAGCACATAACTGGGAAGACCATGGCCTGGATCAGGCACACCTTAGCTTTTAGACTGACATCATTGCTTCTCAGTACTTTGGAGCGGCCCCTGACAACAGATTTACCTAACACAATTCTTCTTTTGATTTCCTGACTGTTGGTGCCAAGAGTATTGATTGTGGAGCCACAACTGAGGTGCTGTCATAGCAACCCTATAAACAACAGATAGGAACTTCGCCTTACCCTGTATCATCCTCACGATCTGACATGCTCAAGTTCATTGCTACAGTCACTGTGTAAGTCCATCTTGCTGATGCTCTTCCTCTCTTTCTCTGACCCTCCATCTCTTCCAGGATAATGTCCTTCTCCAAGGACTGGCTCCTCCTGCCAACATGCCCAAAGGATGTGAGAGGAAGTTTTATCAGCCTTGCCTCTAAGGAGCACCCTGGTTGCAATCCGTCCAGGACAAACTTGTTTGTCCTTCTGGCAGTATGTGGGATACTCAGTACTCTTCTACGAAGCCACAATTCAAAAGCATTAATTATTTTTCTGTCATCCTTATTTCAAAGTGCTAAAGAGCAAGGATGTCAGTTTAAAGACTATAGTGTACCTGGTCCAAAACACGGTATTTTCAATTGCTACCTATGCATCTGAAAGTTAGACAATGAATAAAGATAATGATGTGGTGGTGGTGGTGGTGCATGTGTGCTGCTGAGATGTAATTGACTCATGGCTGAACCTTCAGCAGGTTTTCTAAGGCACACGAGGAGACTGCCTATCCTTCTCCCACAGAGCAGCTAGTGGGTTCAGATCACTTGCCTCCGGGATTGTAGCACAGCTTCTTACCACCAGGCCGCCAACTAACATGATGAGAACCAAATCCTAGCAGCCCCGGTAGATAGATTTCTTTTTCCCAGCACATCATGCCACAGTTTGAATGATTTGAGAAACTGTTGGATAGAGAACCCATCACATTTTCTTCTTTCTTTCAGACACCCAGAGAGCATTCAAACGCATCACCTCCAACAAGCTTCCCTGATCATGGCATCACCCTGGGTCCAAAGACAGAAATTTCCTTCTGCATAGTAACTCTGCACTATGAGGGATCTGAAAACCTCCTTCTCTTGATTCCGAATCCTTCTTATGCATGATCACAAACCCAACTTCAAAAAGTACAAGAAAGCAGGCTTCTTTTTAGATGGCCCATAGCACTCATCTTTCCTACTTGCCCATCCAGTCTGAGCATGAGAATACAGGGCAAAGAGAAGGATTCCAAGAGTCCTGAATTTCTGTTTCCTGCTAGCTTCAAGATGTGCTCCTTGTGTAAAAAAACTTCTAAATTATAAGAATTTATACGTAAGGCAAGATTCAAAGAAAATGTTACTCCCAATAAGAGAAAGAATTTCACTACATGGCCTCCAAGGAAAAGAGGCTTACTACAAAATCAGGCCCTAGGGACAGTGTCATTTAGGTGCTCTCCAGAGCTGTAAGGAGACTTATTAAATATTCCTTAATTAATAATAATGCCTCCAAGATGGCCTTTCTCACAGAACTGATCCTGTAAAGGAAGCCAGCAATAATGAGACGTGGGTCTGACTTCTTATGTCCTCCCTGGATTTACACAACTAAATCAGGTTATCCTCTAAGCGTAGGAATTCAAGCAAATATTTAAAATAGCTATCAGTGGTGGCCAATCTTCAAAATGACCCCAATGATTCCCACCTTCTGATAGCCACACCCTTCTTGTCACATTGGACCAGTTGAAATGTGATCAATCTCTCTGTCTTTCACTGCTGTCAAGTTAGAACTGACTCACAGCTGACCCGCCAACCGGTTTTTGGAGGTTGTAAAGTATACAGGAGAAAAAGTGTCCATTTTTTTTTCCTTCCACTTAACTGGTGGATTCAAACCTCCAGAGAGGCACTGCTGTTGGATTAGCAGCACCATTCTCTACAGAGTACACCACCAGAGCTCCCTCTGTGATAAAAAGAATACAGCAAAGATAATGTTACATCTAGGAGTAAGTTATACCATGCTCAGACTTCAGTGTCAGGTACTCTCACTCTTTCGGATCAACTGCTCTGGGGAAAACCAGCTGCCATGTCAAGCATTTTGACAAGGACGTTGCCAACAGCTAGAAGGGGGATCCTCCAATCCAGCCTTCAGTAGACTGAAGCCTTAGCCAGCAGCTGAGTTCCTGGGTGGCACAAACGGTTAACATGCTGGCTGGCTACTAACCAAGAGACGGGAAGTTTTCATCCATCCAGTGGTGCATCAAAAGACAGTCCCGGACACCTCCTTCTGAAAAATCTACCACTGAAAACCTTGGGGAGCAGAGTCTATTCCACAGCAGAGGGTCAACCTCGGGTCAGAACAGGACCTAAAAGTCAACAGCTTGCCTCTAACTTCATAAAACACACCGAGTTAGAATTCCTAGATTTTTTGACCCACAGAAACTATTGTTAGGTGCTAAATTGTGGGGTGGTCACAGAGCAATTCACTATCCTATTCAGAACATGCTTGGAAAAAAAGAGAGAAGACCATCAATGAAAGTATTGACACTGTGCAACATTCTGGGTTTAGGCATGACAGGGATTGTGAAAATGGTGCAAGAGAGGGAAAGGTTTTGATCTGATGTTCATGGCGTTCTTGTGAACTGTTGTCAACTGTAGTGAAATGGCAACTAACAACTGCCTAAGACTAAGAAGTTGGAAAGTTTGATCTTATTTCCTCTCTACTATTGGTTATTTAGGACCAATTAATCTGTAAGAAAACAGCAAATTATACATTAAGCATTCTACAATTACTGATGGCAGATTTGGGTAATATATTTCCAAGTGACATTATTATTTCTTCATATAAATTCTCATCTATAAAAGAAAACAATCACAAAGGAGTCACACACACAGACACACAGACACACACATCTGGGCTGCTCAATCCATTGATTTCATTAACTTTTGCGTGTCCTTGCTCCTACTGGTCTACTTCCACTCTCTGCTCTCACAAGCCTTCTCAGGAAGTAACATCAAGACCCCTTCCCTTGGGGAGCTCCGGTGACCTAGTGGCAAGGAGCTGCAACTACAATCCCAAAGGCACACGGTTCGAATCCACCAGATGCTCTGCCGGGAAAAGGAGGGACAATCTCCTCCTGTACCAGTCAGATCTGATTTGACGGTACACTCACACAAAAATTAAAAAAAAAAAAAAGACCCCTTCCCTTAGCTATTTTGAGTCTTCAACTAGCAAGTCATTCCTCTACCACTTGCTCCAAGTGGAGGAAAGAGGGTTAGGCTTCCTGCGTCCACCTGGTATTGGGTTGAGGAGGACTTCATTGAGAATTCTACCAGGGACAGGAAATCCTGATCACAAGCGCTGAGCACTCTAATTCCTGCAATTAGTGAGTAAGTGGCAAGAGCAGCGCTGATACAATCACTGCTCAAGTCACACCACCGCTACACTTGAACCGGGCAAAGGAAAGGGGAATAGACACTCCAATTCCTTCCCTAGGCTGCGATCTCTCAAGGCAGCAGGAGAGCGTGCTGCTCTAAGCGAGGCGGGAGCCTCTTTCTGCACAAAGAAGGGCAAAGGGCAAGCTTTCTTTCCATCGACCACAAAACCAGCCTCTGCCAGACCTAAAGAGTGTGGGAGGCTGTCGGAGGTGAAGGGAGCTCCAGACAGAAAACCACAAGGAGACTCTCTCCTCCCGCCGCCAGCTGGGGTCTAAGTCAGGTGACTTCTCTGGCCACACAGCAAACCTAAACAAAGATCACTCCCCACAGGACTGACCGGCGGCGGGGGAGGGACGACAAGGACTCACACTAAAACCAAGACTTACCAGTTTCCACCACCAAACCCAGAACTCTCTCTCCTTTGAAGTCACAGGAAACTGGAGAAGCTACAAGTTACTCGGCAGCTTCGACTCCAGGGATGCACTAGGAGGAACTTGGGACCGGGCTCTGCACGCACGCCGGCAGGACCTCTCCCCACCAGCTGTCACCGGAGCTCGCGGGCAGACACAGCCTGAAAGCCCGTCCCTCTGGCCGCTCCCAGGCAGCAGCGACCCTGCAGGGGAGACGCTTCTCCCGAAGGCTCAGGAGTGATGGCACGCCCGCCCGCCCCCCGGCAAGGGGCGCCAGGATGGGCGCGGCCCCGTGCCGAGCGTGGCTTCGGTTCCATCCATCCCGCCTCCCCAGGGAATGGAACGGGTCTCCTGGTCCCCAAGCCCGCGCGACCCACCTTGTCGCCGAAGCTGCGGGCCATCAGCAGGTCCGGGCTGGGCGTGCTGTCGCCGCCCACGGCCTCCTCGCTGCTGGAGCCAGCCAGCGGGTGCGGCATGTCACGCAGGGAGTGGGGCCCCGTGGACGGCAGGGCCTTAGGGGGCCCGGCCGACATGGCGCGCACCGCTCGGGACGCGCCGCCGCCGCTTCCTCCTGCTGTCCGCCGCGGCGGGCCAGCCCTGCGCCCCGGGCAGAGGCCCCGCTCAGCCGCGGCTAG